AGATGCCCATATGAGGACCCCCAAGAGTGGCTTTAGAGTGCTACTGTAAAGCAGTTACATTGCCTTATTTTCAGGATTTGGCATATGCACCAGTAGGCCAGGTACAAGCATGCGCAAGCTTGGCCCAGGGGTAATATAGAAAAGCCCTTAGGGGCATTTGATAAACCTCCTTGGTGTCTAGCTGCAGCCTTCAAGCCCTAATTATCTACAAATCTGACCTGAAGTCCCTGACTTCAGGTCAGTGAAATCCTGTTGTTTTCCAGTAAAGGGACAGTAAACCATGACATGGTTTATTTGGACCACTCACTGGGAGAGTGATACTCTATTGACCACAGTCAAATAGCTGTTTGTAAAGAGAGGCACTCCACTTTCATCTTTAGCAAAGTACCTCAGCAATCTAATCTTGGCCTTTTGCTTTCTTTCATTACACATTAATTATATCGATTTTTTTTTTATCCAGTAACTCTGTGTGATTTCCATGTTTGATCGCACAGATTCCTTATACAGTAGGTCAGACAAATATTCTTATGACATTTAGTCTGATCTTCTGTGTATATTTTGATATAACAACAGGTTGGATTAACCTCTGCAGGCCTGGGTGTTTCACCACTGCATGTAAATGTGGCTTGCTTTTGTAGCTGTGCTTTGTTACCTACTGGAATCGTCATCTCTGAGGTAGCTGCCTCCTGGCTGATCAGATTAAGTTGCCTAAGAACAGGATCCATAAAAAAACAAGCATAGTGAGTAAGTGAGACAGTGTGTGTGTGTGTCCATCCCTTAAAAATGCCTGCTGTCTCAAAAAAATAATAGGGCTGAACTAGAAAGCATCCAGAGATATGGACACTTCATCAAAGACATGGGTCGGTTTCTCAGCAAAAATGAGACTGAGAATACTGGTGACTGTTTAGTTTGGATAGAAAGTGATGAAGGGGAGGAAAAAATCATGGTAGAAGCAGATCAAATAATAATCTAGTCAGAGAAAGTAAATCCTGGGTGCTCCAGTTACAGATTTGTACTAAAATAAGAACAGGAGAAATATAAATTAGTGAAACTGCAAGGCAGCCCATTTAAAACTGCTCAAAGGAAATAATTAGGCCATAAAACTTGCTCACAAAAGCTATCCTTCAGGTGAAGAGCAGCTGGGACTTTCAAAGGAAGCCAAGAGCTCAAATTCCAATGAACTGCAATCAAAGCTGAGCAAGCAACTCCCTTAACCTCCTTTAAAAATCCAAACCTTATATGGTGAATGAGAACATACGTGATTACATTTGAGAGGGCAGAGATATATAATGGGAGTAATTATCTCATTTTTTAAAGGCGGCATGCATTAACTACTCATTGGGGGTACTGAGAAGAAATTCCTAATGGAAAATCCTCAGTGAAGTGATTTTTGCAGAGTCCTCTAGAGCAGCAGTTCCCAACCTTTGGTCGTGACCCAAGTGAAGGTTGTGGGGGCAATGCCAGTTGCACCAGACACAAAGGACGAGTCGTGCCACGTGCCGGGAGCTCCCCCACCCCTGGGCCGCTGCCAAACTCTGCTCCCAGCAGTGGGTCGCAGCAAAAAAAGGTTGGAAACTGCTGCTCTAGAGCATCTAGTTGGTCCACTGTTCCAAACAGGACATTGCATCACATAAGTGCATAATTGCCAGTTAGGTGAGGGTAATATTTAAACATCACCAAGATGCCCAAACCTCTGTTAAGCAGCAGCCTTGACCAGTAAGTATCTAAAGTATCTTAGTTCCTGCTAATGGAGGAATTAAAGCATCTAAACTAAAACATCTGAACTTAAGCTAATGGAGGAACTAAAGATAAAATCAACTGAAGTATTGGGTCTCAACCAGGGTGCTGCAAGACCTTTTCAAGGGTGCCATGGCCAAGTGAAATTCCCACACACCTCTGTTTCCACAAGACAGGTGTGGAGCCAGACTGGGAAAGTGGCTGCGTCGGGAGCAGGTGCTCATGCCTGCATACATTTTATCAGTTCTATGTGGTGTCAGTACCATCAGGAGTTGGTGGTAGCAGCCTGGAAAGACACTTGGTTGAGAACTACTGTTTTATGGATATATCTCCAAGCTGCCATGCTGCCACCACCACCAGGTAGAACTATCCTGCACCTCTATTTCCTGGAGGCACATGTGGGGCAGGACCAGGATATGGCTGTAGCAGAATTGTGTACTCCTGGCTGCATTAAGCTTCTCTGATATAGTTAGGAAGCTGCAACAGTACAACAGTGGTTCTCAACTGGGCTCAATTCAGAAAAGTTAAGGAGGGGTGCACTGAGTCTAAAAAGGTTGAGAACCACTGTATTCTGGTATTACTTACAGGTCTTATCCAAGACTGGCTCCTCCTTCTGTAACATAAATATGAGACAATCCTTGTTCCAAAAGTTGTGTCCTCTAAATTACAAGAAAGAAAAAGAGTGTTAATGACATGTTAATCCAAGGACTGGACACATGGCAGACTTACATTGGTGCAATTGTACAGAGATATAAATTACACTTGGACCTGGAGCAGACCTCTAAGGGTAGCTGCATGCAGGAGGCTGATATTGCTGTGCTTTGCTCCTAAGTGGTGAGATAACTTAGCAACAGCCTGTGTACCTCCCACATGTAGTTAACCTAAAACAAACTGTGGACACATGACATTTACACTAGTGTAGTTTCACCCTTGATTTTTCCTGGGATAATTCTACACTGGGTTCAAGTGACATTGGTACAGGCCTGTAGGCCTTAATTTACACTGATGTAAATGCTGATTATAGAGTCATTAAGCCAACAGAGAAGCAAGAGGACCTGTCTAAGTTCACGTGTCATCTAAAGCAATGTTTCCCAATTGGGATGACACAATATCCTTTCAGGATTGCTGCAGTCAGGAGACACATATGGGACCAGACAGGAAAGTGGATGCGGCAGCAAGGGATGCTCCTACCTGCATTAAGTTTATCTGATAAAGTAGGGAAGCTTAGACAGTATAACAATGGCTCATAAAATGTTGTGGAGAGGTGCCATAAGTCTAAATGTTGACATCCACTGCTATCATAGCTTGTCTAAATGGGAAAGTTATATCTGAATTAATTAGGGTGTGAATTTGAAGTCAGGAAGGTGAAAACAATCCACAAGAACTCCCTACAAAGGCACTTTTGCTTCTTATGAGTGCCTGTGTGTGGTTTAACATCCTCTATTGCCAAAGCCTTTCTGGACCATTTATTCTTCCATGGAAATAAAGACTTAATCCTGATGCCGTCTAAGATCCTGAAGTCTTGGTTCATGCCTAAACCATAACAAGATTTTTAAACTGGCCCTTCCTGTCTACAGAGCCTAGTTAATTCTTACATTAAATATATCTAATCAAGACTGATCATCATCAAAGATGATGGCAATGGGGCATTAAAGGGAAGTATAGGTTGGAGAAGGTGGTTCCTATTTGGCCAATAATCTTGTGTTCAGGGCAAGCAACTAGAAAGTGAAAAAACTATTTGCACTTTACCAGATCCATAGGAGAGATTGGAATCCAGCTCTCCTACATCCCAGATGACTGGCATAACCACTTGGCTATACAGTTACTCTGAGAGTAATCCTATAGCTCTCTCTCTGGCCCTGTGAGACTTGTGTTGTTAAATCATTGAGGTGCTTCTGAAAAATATTACCCAGTCACTGTAAATATTCAAGCAAAGAAATGTATTTCCTAGAATGTAAATAGAAATAACACATTTTAAGCAAAGACTAGAAAATATTTGTGGCAAGTTAGTTCTGAACTTAAAAATCTGAATATTTGGAGTTATAACCTACGTGTTTCATTTATCCGATCTTAGTACAGAAACAATACCAAGTGACCTATATGTTCAGTTAAAAGTAGCCAATATTGTTATAATCTCAGGGGCTTGGAAAATCTGCTTATGTATACTCTGCAAACCACATATTATCCATAGAACTTCTTCTGTAAATCATTCTAAGTAATGACTATATTTAAGAAAAGCATAACCTATTCAGGAACATTTTTTTCAAAAGGAGGCTAAAACTGTTTCTTATTTTCTCTTTTCAACCACCAGGTCGGGAAAGTCAGCTCAGCCATAAGACTGAATGTCACACATACAGAAGAGTTAGAATTATGGGTTGTTTTTTTCAGGACATCTGAATTACTGTTGAATAAATGAAAAGGATGTAAATTGGGCATGTCTACACATTCATTAATGCACCGTAATTACAGTGCATTAAGTTTAGTACCTGTAATAACAGGTACTAACTTAATGAGCCATAATCAGCACTACTGCACAGTAGCACTGGCACATATCTTTTAGGTGATGATAAAGTACAGTAGCCTAATTCTACTGTACATTAGCATGGCTTTTGCCGTGATGCGCTAGAGTGCAGTAGAATTAGCCTACTGCGCCTCTCGTATCTCGTATAGACACCCCACTGATAACTGGCTTACTCCGATGTACTTTGAATAGGTTCATATGCAATTTATGTGATATCATGCCTTTTATTATATCTTTTTAAAAAAACACCTTATTTTAACATACGCAATGGGGTCCCAAGGGAGGTGGTGCTCTCCCCTACCTTGGGGGTCTTCAAGAAGAGGTTGGATTGATATCTGGCTGGGGTATTATGATCCCAGAGCTCGTTCCTGCCCAGGGCAGGGGTTCAGCCTTGATGATCTGTTCAGGTCCCTTCTGACCCTAGAAACTATGAAACTATGAATCAGATGTCCTTACAATGAACCAAACCAAACAAAATCTACAGATCTGAAGACTATGGGTTTTTTGGAGGAATTAAGATCTGAATCAGAACTGAGATCTACTGGTTAGCAAAACTCCAACTTGAAACTTAATGTGTGCACTGTAATTGTCTTCTTTTACGCATTCACTTAATTTTGACAAACAAACAAAAACATTTCAAAAGAGGCTTCTGCACAGGGCATTGAAAGTTCCTTTTTCTCCATGTCCCTTTTTTTTCTTCAAGTAATTTTAGATAGCAATTGAGATCACTAATGAATTGCTATAGTCTTGCTATGACTTGCAGGAGATAACTAACGCTGAGAGACTAAGTGAAGCTCAGTTTCATACCTATTAAACCACTAATATAGGCGATCTATGGATTTTTATCATTTCCAGAAACTGGTCTTGTTTAAGAGAACTATTACATGTGTGCGTGCTTTCTTATATAGTTCATTTGGCATTTGTACAAAACCTGCCTGATTTCAAATTGTGAAGCCTCACCCTGTGTACTGAATAGAAAGAGCTCGACCTCTTTCTTTGCGTGGCTTATAGTAGACATTACAAACTCAATGGCAAAAAGTAATCATTAGCCCTGGAAAAGACTGCCTTGCTGTACTTTCCCAGTGGAACTCTGTGTCACAACTTTGGACCAAATTTACATTAGGAGAACAATATTAAAGGCAATTAAGATACTCTGGCTCCAGCTTCCATAAACAACCAGTAATTCTGGTCCCTTCAGTCATATGACTGGAGACGCCACAAAGGGGCCTGATTTTTTCAGAGGGCGGGCGCCAACTCCGTTCTTTTAATCAGGCTTCATTAAAATGTCTTGAGTTGGGCATCTAAAATAGGCACTTTCAAAAAGGTAGATCACCAAATATAACTGATAAGGTCATTTATCTCCTTATCTCCACATATCAAAGGATTAACAGTGCATTAACTACTGCGACACAACATGGGCATCACAAAGACAAAAAGCAATCAACAAAATACGAAGTCATACAGAGTGCAGTGCATTTTACAATCCTCCTTTGTGGTATCCTAAAATGTTTACAATAGCAGAGAGAAAGAGGAATTCCATTTAAAAACAAAAACATTTACCACGCTGCAGCTGTTGGCTTCTTTACTGTGGAATTTGCTATTTCAGGCTTAGGACATACATACTGCAAATGCCAGGATAAATTTATCTATGCTGTACCGTAAAGGTTGATTTGTTTTGCCTTTATCTTAGTGACAATCCCACCATACAAAAAGAAAGAAAGAAATGCTTTCAGATGAGAGTTGAAATGAGATGGAGAGGTGACATTCCTGAGAGAGACTCAGGACAACGTATTTCTTCCCACTCTGCCTGACAAGCATTGTTTTCTCACCACAGCAAGCAAGAAGGCTCAGCTCTTTAACTTGCATCAAAGAAAGAGCAGCAGAGACTGAGCACATCCATGAGAAATCAACTCAAGCCTTGACCAAACAATCCTTCCCAACAGGTTAATGACATGAGCTCCTACGCATGTGTTCAATAGTTATGGGATCTTGATAGCTTTATTACCCTTGGGGGCCTCTCGTTTGGTATGTCAGTGTCCTCATAACCTGGAACCACATGATGAAAATTAAACAAGCCTTTGTTGTATTTGTTGCTGTGGAAATATTAAGTCAGCTGTTCCTCTTTCGGCGGGAGTCCCCCCTTCTTTTTTTAACATTTCAATTTTCATTGAATGGCAAGGAAAGGGGACAAACAAAAGGAGAGTCTTATCCATTTCCCCTCTGATCTCCCTTGCCCCAGTTTTTAAAGCTGTCTTTCTCAGTCTGGGAAAGAGCAGGAAAAATAAAGGCATTCTTTCTTGCATCTTGAAACAAAAAAATAAATAAAGGGGGAGTGAAAGGGGAGGGGGAGAAAGGCGAGGAACGGGAACTACCAATGAAAAGATGCTTCTCCAACCCTCCCGTTCAGATAATAGTTAACTTAGGGTTAACGATTAATAGGCCAGCAAGCAGTGTATAAATGGCCAAGGCTGAGATCCCACTGCTAGCTGGATGTTTGTAAACTGCCTCCTGCGTCTTTGCAGACTGAGCGCTTCATCTTTGTGGTCCTCACACATCCCCAGAATGACCATTGTGAGGTCTCCAATCTGCTGCTGCTGGCTGCCATGTCTTCTGCTGCTCCTCAGCACTTACCTCACTTCTGGAGTCAACCTCCAACCCATGCACTGTGCCCCTTGCACTGAAGAGAAGCTTGCTGTCTGCCCGCCAGTGCCCGCCAGCTGCCCAGAGATGGCTCACCAGCCAGGTTGTGGCTGCTGCCAGACCTGCGCTCTCCAGATGGGTGAGCACTGTGGAGTGTACACAGCACGCTGTGGCCAAGGGCTCAGCTGCCATGTACCTCCAGGTGAGCCCAGACCACTCTATGCCCTCATCCAAGGGCAAGGAACATGCCTGCCAACCAGTGATGCAGAAGGGATACGGATAGCAGAGGCTACAGGTATATAAATGCTGTATATCCCTAGTGTATGCTCTTGTCAGCAGAAAGCTTTATACTTCTGGTGCCAGGTTTATATAGAGCTAAATTCCAGCTCTTAGTGATAATGCTAAAGGGGGTACGGCTGACTTGTGTATGAAATTAAAGAGTAAGATTGTATGGTAAATTTAGAAGAGTTAAAACATGAGATTTGGAAAATTTCTCCTTGTTCTGATCCACATCTCATTATAATGCTCCAAAAGACCAAGGGTGGAATGCAAAACAAGAAAGAAATCCAAGCGCATGAAGTGGAAGAGCCAGAATTCCCCTCATGCTCCTTGGCCCCAGAGGAATCTATTGTACTTTTGTTTGGTTTGCTGTTAAATGTTCATAGTAAATAGGGAGTGTATAAAGGAATCCCAATGTGTTGAAGGTCTGGCCCTGACTGGAAGGTAACTGAAGGCAATAAATGATACCCACTGGCCTAAATGGACTAATGGGTATTTGCATTAGCGTATTAACAATGGGTAGGTATTTGATGAGGGGAGAGGTAAGCACACTAAACCATTAACATCTGCTAAGCTCTATAGCTGACTTCCGCATTTTTTCTTCTGACAACTTCTTTGCCAAGATTTCCTTTCATGGAAATTAAATTGACGGAGCCATAAATCCCTGAAGAACTTAACTTGACCATCACAATAGTGGATCTCAATGTTAGTATCTGTAATTTTTTTTTTTCATTAAGGACAGAACCAGTCAACAGTGGCTTCAGTGCTATTAGTTAAAATGTTTCTGAATACTACTGTGAATTTCAGCAACTTTGGCAATTGAAATATAGCTTTTTTGATTTTATCAGGAGAAAAGTCCATAAGTTTATGTGTGTCCCTCCCTCCACATCAGTTTATCCTACATATTATGCTTATTGCTATTTTTTCAACTTGTTTGTAAATTGTTTTAGGCCCTGATCCGACAAGGGTTTTAAATATGTGCCTAACTTTAAGCACTTGAAAATCCTATGGACTTGTTAACATCTTCTATTGATTTCATTGCAACTTGTACACGTGTAAAGTTAAGCATTTGCTTTACATATCTGAGGGCTTGTTCTGCCCCTTGTTTGTTTGTTCTTCCACAAGCTGACTGGGTCTGCTGACTCTATTGCCTATTTGTGTGAATTATTACCCATTGACATGTGTTAGCCAGGCTCTGGAACAAATTAAAATATGTCAGGGGACCATGTTTAGAACAACTCTTTCCAAGAATGAAAACAAAATGCATCAGCACTGGCTGGGGAAGGCTCCAAATCAGTTATAGTTTTGTTTTCAGTCTTCCAGTTTATCCCACAATTCACACTATTTACTAAGTTAGTTGGGGCTTTTTGTTTGTGCTCTGACTTCAAAATGGTAATAGAGTAATTAGCTTATCAGGGAACAGCTAATACATGTGTCCTGCTGAGAAATCACAGGGTTTTGATTTGCTGTGATGCAAAAGGAAACTCCCATGAGATTGATTAGACTAGGCTCACAGGAGTTACACACCCAGGAGTTTAACTTGACTTTTTTTTTTTTTGGGGGGGGGGGTAGGGGTTGGTCAAACTAATACAGGAGATGGCTAAGGAAGGGAGAAGCTATATCACAGGATATTGTTCTTCTTTTTTAGATTCTATGGAACCTGAAGATATACCCCTTGAAGGTACTGAAATGACACAAGATCAGCTGCTTAACTATCAACTGATGTTTCCCATTGGGCAGGACAAGTCTATTCCTTGGAATGCCATTAGTGCTTATGAAAACATGAAAGCCAAGAGAATCACTGAATTAAAGAAATGGAAGGAACAGGTAGGTTTGCTTGTAAGGCTTTCAGGTAGCAATTGATTTACAATTCAGAATGAAATTGTTACATGAAACTAGAGGCTGCACTGGCTCTACATCATTTTGTGTCACTGGATAGCAGCCCCACTTTTTTAGAAAGTCCTGATCAGAAGCTTCAGTTGTAAGCACATGGAAAATAACTGGAAGATGTATATATATTACTTAAGGCTCACATAGATACCTTTGCACAGGGCTGAAATTCATCCACAATGCATATCAGATTCTATCATCACGCTTATATCTAGAGGTGGGGGGGGTTTTAATAAAAGGTGTGTGTACGTGTGTGTGTAAGTAATTTAAATTACCACTTAGGGGCACCAAAGAACAGAAGTTAGAATAAGCCATGGAAGCAATTGTATAGTATAGAGCTGAATTAGGAGCAGGCATACCTACAATATTATGAGACAGTGCCAATGCTTCTGCAAGGACCAAAGCTGGAGGTTCCTGGCTGGAGGGTCTGGCCTTTTCACTCGGGGTCAGTAAGGAAAATTATCACCATATTTGGGATCAGTAAGAAATTTTCATGAGCAGAGTGGTATGGACTGTGGGGGGTTTTACCTTCCTTTGCACAGGGTGGCGTGGCCCTCTACCCAGGATCTCTTAAGCCTGTATTAACACCATTTCATAGAAGCAGGATGTTGGCTGCCATGGTTCCCCTGCTTTACCTGTGGCCGGTTAGGGTGTTAGGGCTGCGTTATGTCAGGTTTGATGATAGTCTTATGTAGAGTTTAGATTATGGATTTTATAGGATGGTTTGGTTATGGATGATCCTGCCTCAGGCAGGGGGTTGGGCTAGGGGACCTCTGAAGGTCCTTTCCAGCCTTGCTTCTCTAATAACAAGTTACAGAAAGCATGTAACCCTCATTTTTATACTTTGTAGGTTTTAATAGAATGTTATCCCTGATGTAAAATGATCCATTGCTGTTAAATTGTTGTCCAGTACATTTTAAGAATTTTTGACAATTGTATGAGCCATATGTAATGATTCAGTTATACTTATTTCTAAAAATAAATACCAGAAAACAGTTTTAAGCAACCTTAATTTAAAATTAAAAGTACTATTACCTTTTGTGTGCATATCAGAAAGAATGATTCATTTCACTGGGTTTGCCAGGGGCCAGCTGAATACAGTAGACTCAAAAAACAAGCATTTAGAAAATTGTTTTGCAAAGTACCTATTCTACACACACAAAACAACACAGGGACCTGTCTGACATGGAAATGTGACGCTGGATCTTAATGTAGTCAATACGGCTGCTGTGATGTATACCAGTTGGTGATATGGATAGCTGCCATATTACTATTCTTGTTTAATAAGGGATACATTCCAGTGTGAAAGAATTATGAAAATAAATCCTCATGCTTTTAAGGACAAAAAATATCTCTAAGAACAAAAGACAAAGGGCTAAAGCATGCCTTGGCATTTTGTATGTCATTTGGGCTCCAACTAAAAGAAATGGAAACTGCACATGATTCAACCAACTACTGATTTTATCAGTGTAGTTTCTTCTCTTAATTGACTATGTTGTTTTTTATAGATTCTTTGAAGCTCATCATTTACATTATTTATGTAAATATTCTTACAGGGACCTTGCCAGAAAGAACTCTACAGAGCACTGTACAAATTAGCTAAAGCTCAGCAGAAAACTGGAGGCGAGATATACAAATTCTATTTGCCTAACTGCACCAAGAATGGATTTTATCACAGCAAACAGGTATATTTATCTTCACTCCCTACTCACATGCTGTGCTAGTAGTCAGTCTCAGCCAGCTTTCCAGTAAATCAAGTCACCTGTAAACACTCAAAGCGTTTTCAGAGCTGGATGAATTGGCTGTGAAAATAAGAATGGTTTCTTGGGAACAAACCACCTTTTTCTCTTCAACTATATAATACTTAGATTAATGGAAACAGAAGCTGAAGACCTCTTTTTATCCACAGATTAGATGTAGAACGTTGTCTAAGAATGTTTCCAGATTAGCAGGATCTCCATGCTCCCAGCCAATATTCATTTACCATATCCACCATGCTGACTGCAGAGAGAGATATTGTGGCATCCCCATTGAGAACCACTGCTTTAGATGATGTCATGTCAGTGCATAAGACTACAAAGCATGGTGGATGTGTAAGAATGGCTACAGAAGGATAAAAACATCTATATATTCTGGTTAAAATTAAGGTCCAGTTGAAGTCAGTGGCAAAACTCCAATCAGCTTCAGTGGGGCTGGGAGTTCTCCTGAGATGAGATGATTAATAGCATGATTATTAAAAGGAAAAATACAGCTGAATACACTGTGTAAGAATTATTTTACCAAAATAGTTATTCAGGAAATTACCAATCCAGGTCCAAAATCACTAATTAACCATTAACATCCCAGCCTAATACATTTGTGTTCGAGATCCCACCTCTCCCTGCCCCCTCCCTCTACCCAAACAAGCCATGCTATTAAATCTCACTCTTGGTCTGTGTACCAACACAGTGCAACTCTTGAAGAAACTGTTTCCATAAGATCTAGTTGGGTACCAACAGAAATCAACATAAAAAAATCCTTATTTACATTAGATGTTGGGGGATTGGGCCCAGGTTCTCATCCACTCCAGGTTCTCACCTCTGCCTATATATTCTGCTTCCTCTCATGCCCTCTCCTCAGAAAGATATTTCTTTCTTTTGGGAAGTAGGTGAGCATAATTTTGGAAAAGGCTCTAAACACCTAGTAGGTCACAATACTGTGCTAAGTGGGGTTCAATTGGAGTCATGAGTTGGGAAAGAATAATGTGGCATACAAAAAAAATCCCTGCAGCTTTCTTATTCCTCATACTTACTAATGCTTTCCAAGCCCCTGTACTCGTATACAGTTTATGTGTGTTGTGTATGTGCACAGTTTCTCAGAGTCAATTTCATAGTATCTTTTCCTGAACTTTCTCATAGTGTGAAACTTCTTTGGATGGTGATTCTGCTGGATGCTGGTGTGTCTATCCAAGGAATGGGAAAAGAATTCCTGGCTCTCCTGAGTTGAAGGGTGACCCTGAATGTCAGCAGTATCTCGGTTCACAAGAATAAGACCAAGCACATGCCAGCATTTGCATTCACTCATATAAGTCTTTTGCAGGATCCTGCAGTCTTTTAGACTGATTCAGTGAAGTGCGCATGTATATCTCACTTTAAGCATATCAGTAGTCCCACTAGTGACCAGTAGTCCCACTACTCACTAGTGGTAGTGCCACACAAGTCAATGGGACTACAAAGATGTTTAAAGTTATATATGGATCTATGTGACTGCAGGGGTCCTATACACCGTAGACATATATATGAATAATACTATAATGAGCTGCCTTTGTACACTGCAGATTCCCTAGTATGAAATGCTGCTGAATTATTTATTTCACAGTAACTTTATTTTTGTCAGTGTGTTATTAATTTATATATCCACATCCTCAAACACTTCATAACTTTATATGTAAATACTTAACATTATTGTTCTTAAAGACATGCATTTTTCTATTTTGGAAGAGTGCTGCTTGTTCAATTTCACTTGGCTTAACACTAACTATTAGGAAGAAGTGGCTTGTAAAACTTGCATTTTGTATTGTGTATTTATAGTTTGCAGATGTAAAGCAGACTTTAAAAAGCTTCTGGGAGAGAATATGGTTAGGAATTTATTTAAAACCTGTTTCATTTGTATATCACGTTACTTTTGCACCTCTGTTTCAATGTCAATCTTTTTCTTAAAAAAGAAATTCTGAATCAGGATCATATAGGGAAAAACTAACAGGAGAATATTAGTTTATATTTTCCTCATACATGCACTGGATACATTGTAACATAACAGGTGAAACTGTACAAACTGTAACAGGGGTAAATTTTTCACATGTTGACATTGTCATGTTATTTAAAATGAGCTATTAAATAATTTCCAATAGTCATTCCTGGCCTCTTGCTTTCAAAGATACATTGTACTCTAAGCATAGGTATCAAAGTTTAACCCTTCCAGTGGAGCAGGAATAGACCCATTTTGTTCTCAGAGGATGAGTAAGGTGGGTTAGTAAGGCAGTATAGTTGAAGGGAGGAAGCAATCAGTTTGCAAAACGAGTGCACAGGTTCTTACCCTTAATTGCTGGAATGGGATGAGAGCAGCAAGGCTCAGGAGAGAGTAGGACAGGCAAGAAAAATCATCCAGTAGGGAGCAGGTAATTGAAACACAGGAAGTTCTTAAGAGGAATTCCCATGACGGCATCAAGACAGAGAATGGGTCTTTTGCTCTTTTCTCCCCATCTTGGTCACAACCCTAGTAACAAAAGCAACTCAGCAACTAAGAATATTTGGGCATCTGCTTCACTGCACAAATAATTTGGGAAAACTCCTGCATTCAGTACAACCCTATCTTTTTATGTAGTACTATTGCCTTATCACTTTCTCCCAAGTTTTCTTCTACTGCCCCTCCACCCCTTCCTTCTCATCTATTTTCTTTTTCTATTACTTCTTTGTATTCTGGAAGCTTTTGCCCTGGGAAAAGTGGTAGCCCATAAGGGAAATTATTAAACAGCTTCCTGGATAGGCAAGCTGGATCCAGAGAAAAACTCTAGAGTAGCAATATGTATCTAAAAGGCAGTATAGAGACCTACCTGAGACACAGAGCTATGCTTCATGCCTAGAGAGTCAGGGAATAAGGGAGTGAGGGAATACTAAAAGTATCCCTTAGCATGAATAGGAAGTGCTTTCCCCAAGAAATCCACTACTACCTGACCTATGCAGCAGGAGTTTCTCTCTCTGTCTCCTTCTCTCTCTTCAGTCTATTCTAAACACTGCAAAAAATGTAAAGGGAGCTGAGGAAGTGGAGAGAAAAAGGGGAATTGGGACTGGCTGAGCTAAACTACATACTTACAGAAAAAGAAGAGTGTTACCTTGTCTCACGGTATGCTGGGAGGGGAGTTCAGTTCAAAAAGACCTGTGTGTTCTTGGCCCAAGCCTTGGGTTTAGCATGCGAGAGGGAGGAGGCTTCTGGAAACTACAAAACTGATACTGACTTAAGATAAAATATCCTGCCCATTTGATCTTGCAGTTGCCTAGAACCAGGCTTTGCTAACTGGGAGTATTTGCTGGATTCCAAAGTCTGTTATGGTGTTTTCATTAGGGTTTAGTGAATACAGTGGGAAGTGAATTCTGTTTCACGGTTAAGATGCAGAAGGAAGTATCATACAGTTTTTAGAGATTTAAGTCACCTACTATCATCGGATCATAGGAAAATAGAGCTGGAAGGGACCTCACAAGGTCATTTAATCCAGAGTTTCCCAACCCCTGGGCTGTGGCCTGGTTCTGGGCCACGAAGAGATGGCTGCCGGTCTGCAAGGGGGTTGGCTGCTGGACCAGAAGTCCGGAAGTGACCGGCCTGCTGCGGAGTGGCAGCCAACCTTTTCTTATACTGAGTATAAAAAAGGGTTGGCTGCCACTCCACAGTATGCTGGTCACTTCCAGACTGCACCCACTCCCTCCACCACCCACCCCCTGCTGAGAGTCTTGTTCCTGAGATGTGTTCCTGAGATCAGCTTTGTATAGAGGGGCTGATCCCTTGCATGCCCCTCCTCCCCCCACCCCCAGCCTCCTCTAAATTGTCTCTCCCCACATGTTTCTGAATGGCTAATTCAGAAAATGCAGCATAGGTGGAGAGAGTAGCCCCATGCACAGAGCTTGAGCAAAGCTGGAGCCAGAGCCAGGATCTCAGCCTCTGCAGGTTGTAAACAGGGGATTAGATAGCCAGGCCCAATTCCATGGCTAGGCAGAAACAGGGATTTAGCAAACTGCTGGTAAAATACAGACTGGATTAAAGTTTGGTTCTAATCTTTTTGTGGGCCAAAGTGGGCCCACAGGCCATAATTAGCCAGCCCCTGCTCTAAGGCATTTGAATTATGAGCTCCCACATCACAGGGTAGCAACCTAAACACTAAGTCAGAAAGCACCTGCCTGTGGAGGGTACACCATGACAGAAACTGTCCTAAGGCCATAATAGACAGTGTCTTAAATCCTTAAAGCAAGCAAAGAACAGTAGATGCTGCTCTGGTGTAGGAGGCCAGTGAACTTTTGCTTCCAATATTGGTTGTGCATTTCACATTAGAGTCATTATGGGTGGGAGGTGGGGGGAATAGCATTGAGGATGGGGAGCAGGTGTCTACAGATAGTGCTCCACTTGCTTGGACCTCTCTGCCCCTGCAGCTGTAACAGATACCCAGGCATCACTATTTGGAAAGCCTTCAAGAAGTAGCAGTCCTCATTACACTATATCTTCATGAAGGTGGGGCCTCTTGGAAGACACGGACCACAACAACGTAACAGGAAGGCATGTCTGTTTGTCTGTGTTTGGAGAGAGGAAAAAGCAAGCCTGGTACTTCACACTCTGTTTAGCAAAGCAGCCCAGACATGTACAATAAGCAGGATTTTCCAGCCCTTTGTCACCAGTTCAGAGGGCCTTGGGGGATACTGGATGACATGCTCCACTATCAAATATTCCTGGAATCATACTTCTTCTGTGATACCTCTTACCATGTACCCAGCTTACCCAGGAGAGTGGAGTGGGCTCAGTAAGGCTTTGTGGTCCATTAGGATGTAGGTGTCTCTATACACTACAGGCCAGAGTCCTCTCCTGCTTGTGCTGATGAAATTCCAGCAGCCCATCTCCTGCCCCTGTAACTAAAATGCAACCTAGAATGGTGCCATTGTATACAATGGCTTGTGTCCAGATATACGTCAGTACGGATGATGCATTTGACATTAAGAAAAGTGCTACTGGATAAACCTCATGAACCACCTTGGGAGCAAAGCTAGGAATACAGAGTTCTTATCCTGCCAGGGCAAGCCCCAACCTCTCCCTGGGCTACAGAATGCACCACCAGGGCAAATGAGCTGTGTACTTATTCTGCTTTTGAATGTATACAGCTACACAGGTGAAGCAGAACGCCTCTCTGGCCCTAGTCACATGCATCAGAACCTTGCCAACACTAGTAGCCAAATCCTACTTCATCTTTATATGCAGAAGAGCCACTTTCAGAACAGAACTTTCTTTGCCTCCACTTGCCTTCTGAATAGCACAGCTTCTTAGGCTTTGTGGTAGATAGGATCATTGCATCCAAGTCTTCTAAAAAAGCAGTTCTCAACCTTTTTTGTACCAGGACCCATTTGTAAACATCAATAGCCAGTCCTGACCCAGTGCCCTTCACTCCCGACCCACTACCCACCTCCCCACCCTCAGGTCCCAGACCCCCCAGTGTGTGTGGCAGGAGGTGGGTGTGTGGGGCAGAAGGGGCCCCAAGCAGCTCCTTGCAAGCTGCAAAGGAACAGTCACAGTTTCCCAAGTTTTTCTTTTTTAAAGGAAAAATCATTTCTAAAGTTTATTGAGCCATTTTTTAAAGTTTGTTGATTCATTTTTAAAGTTTGTTGAGAACCCCTTCATATATTCTTGCAACCCACTTTGGGTCATGACCCATGAGTTGAGAAATGCTGTTCTAAAGTAAGGTTGGAGAAAACTGCATGTAACTACTTGACGGAGGAAGGGAAAATCCTCCCATTCTTCAGCCCAGTGGTTTGGACATTTGATCATGGAGCAGGAGACTCATATTCTAAGATCCTCTCATGAGAGATGATTTGAGCCAGGTTATCACAGAGCCATTATATGCACCCCTCCCCAGCCTTCCTCTTGAAGCTGGTCCGATGGAAGCCTAGAGCAGTGTCACCACCATGTCATCTGGCCTGATCTCAGCATGTGAGACGGGGCAAGGGCACTGCAGAGCCCTGGAGCCTGATTCTGGTGGGCAGAGGTGATGGGGGATGCTGGGACCTGATACTAGCACTTGAGGTCTGATCTGGCCTGTGGACCAGCTCTGCATCCCTCATCTGACCCGTGGGCCCAAAAGGTTTAGCGCCACTGGCCTAGAGGAAATATGTATGGGATCAGGAGAAGGGCCAGTCAGAGGAAATTTGATTTAGTGAGAAGGCAAATGCCAAGGAGAAAGCTCCTTATAAAGTGCAATGAGATCTACAGATGAAAAGTGCTATATAAGCATCACTGTGAAAGAAGCATCCTTAAAGGCAGTGAGCTATATAACATTTCTGGTGTGGCTTCTCACATATTTTTTCTCGAAGTGCATTATTTTCTATCAGTCTGCTAGGAAGAGTGAATCAAAGCTTTTAAAAAACATTTATTTTACTATATATTTAAAATGTAGACCCACGAGAGTTGAGTGTCACATCTCTAAAGGGAGTTAGGTATGTACTTCCCATTGAAATCAGTAAGTGGTAAGTGCCTATATATCTTTACAAATGTGACCCTATGCTGCTGTTTCTGATATCCCAGAAGTTTATTGCATCTGAAGGTTTTCCTACCCCTTGTAGGCTTTCCATTTTAATTCAACCATGCCACCTCCTGCCATTGCCTCAAAGTGACTGTGACAGAGTTGAATGCCTCCCTGCTTGTCTCAACTCCAAAACAGTCCAGTTTCCATCACTGGACAACATCACTTAGCTTTTCCCATCACTTATGTAGTGAGGTGGTATAGGGTAGGCAGCTATGAAGCATAACAGAGTTGTGAGAGGAGGCATAATGAAGGTCATGAAAAATCAATAGCTTTAACACCATCGCTTCTCAGAAAGTATTCACTGCACAGGCAATGTTCATTTGTCCAGGGAGCAGCTTCCACCAGGGCCATAGGTTAACTACAGGGCTGAAGCTCTAAGTACCACCTCAAACCTCAGCACTTCCCTTTCCAAAAGCAAGGCACCTTTGACCTCACCTCTCACTAATAAAAGCTCCAAACATATCAAAACCAAGCAAGCAAACAAACAAAAACCAACATAGGATTTTTTTTCCCCCAGGGACCAAAACGGTGAAGGAAGCACACGTGACAGGTGCTGGTCACGTTGCTTATTGCATCCTTGG